GGGTTAGTTTGTGGGGTTTTCTGTTAAGTTGTGTGGACAGATTGTCCTGAACTTCATTGTGTGCAAATTATAGATTATTTTTATGACATTATTTTTTAAAATTGGCAGTTCTTCATTTGGGCTAAGATGTTCTTTTGTAAACCAGGCTTAACCTCAGAATGTAGCATTTTACTTAACATTATACACTTTCAGTCATTGATTATTATGCGGCTTAAGAAAAGAAAAACAGCTTCTCTGTTCGGCTTGCTTTTAGTACCAAATTGGATGTTTTAAGGATTTGAGAAATAAAAATTGTATGATTCTTTGGTTCCAGTTAATTTTTATTTGGTATGATGAGCACCACTTCTGCATCAGCACCAACATCTGTCAGAAACAGAGAAGAAAATTAGAACTCTTTTACACATTTTAGACATGTTGTGCAGCAGGCTGATACGCTGTGGTCTCTAGACTTTGTTGTATTTTGATTATGTTGCTTTTCATTGTCATTGCATGTTTTGTTGCATATTTTGTCTTTTTAAGATGCTCTTCGTTTTTACCTTTCTTATAAACACTCTGTGTGGTGTAATATGCTTTCTCCCATGTTGCTCTTGTGTTTCCAAAACTTAAGAGCACCTTCTATTCAGATGCATTATATATTAATTTCATCTGAATTCCCTGCCTTTGCTTTTAAGATTCATTTACCACCAACATGCCTGTAAAGTTTTGTTTGTTTGCATCTCAGCTTAATGCTTTTTGAGATTACTTATGTGATCTCACACAATAGCTTTAAAACAGCTTACATTACTTGAGCTTGTTATTCATTATTAGACGTCCAAAAGAGAACAAAATTAAATCTCCTTAACTTGCTCTCTCTAGTGATGCTCATTAACTTTCTGCTATTTGTAGCTAATTTCGAGTAATGGAAACTAATGGAGTATAGACGTTGCCACTGATATTTTGTATCCCTATTTTAAAGTTTTATATCTTTTCCACAAGGTAGCGGAAGAGAAAGTTTGCTTTAATGTACTTGACCTCTTTGTGGTTTCAGAAAGAAGTGGTCCCTCTGCGTCTGCTGTGCTGTGGCCCACATGAAACCACATCCATGGTGCGACCAGAAGACTACAAATTTGGCCATTACATGGGGAGTGCTTTAACACTGTGATTAATGGGTAATGATGGGCTTTCAGCTCACACAGCAGGACAGCACTGTGTGCCTCTACTCTCTGTGCTGCAATATTCAGGCAACCATCCCACAAATCGTGCTCATTGGAAGCTCAATCCCTGATTACACTCAATATACAATTCGTTCAGGTCTGTCTTTGCTGCTTGTTGCAAGAGCAGTTATTTTGTCAAAAAAAAAGGAAGTTATAATTTGAATTGAATCACCTTGAGTTATAGTAATGCAAATGTGGTTTCTAAAGTTATACTTCTATTGTCAAAAGAAGAAACTATTTTTTTAGATATCTATGGAAGAGGATTAGGGTCACAGAAAAAAAAGAAAAACTCTCTGAATTCTGGATTTATCCTGAGAAATTTGAGTTTAATCTTATAATTCTTACTTCTTTTTTTTTCCTGAATTGTGACTTTAATCTCAGAATTTTGACTTTTTTCTCAGAAGATTAAAGTCAGAATCCTTTTTTTTTCAGTGGCCCCAATCCTTTAGTGCTCATATGATAATGTGACACAAGTTGTCTTTCTAAATCAATTTCTATTGCAGAAAAGCATTAAAGCCTTTAAATCTGGGTGTTCAACTCCAGCCCTCAAAGGCTGGTATCCTGCAAGATTTAAATTTGTTCCTGCTTCAACACGGTTTGATTCAGATGCTTAAATTACCTCCTCAGCATGTCATCAAGTTCTGCAGAGGCATGGTAATGAGCCATCATTTGGCTCTGGCGTGTTGAACCAGTTAAATCTAAAACATGCATCCTTTCCCGTTATTCCTTCAAAGTAGTCGACGATTGTGAAACTGAAGGAAAAGGTTACATGGTCTTATGTTGTTTTGACAAAGGAGGAACTGAAAATGTGCCGTGAATTTATATTTAACATTTGTGATTCAGTACGCTGCAAATCCACTTTTCAATGCAATTAAAGTTGTGAGATATCAAAGTATGCCTTTATCTAACTAGCACATCTTAAACCTATTTTTGCTCATTCCTCTCAGCCAAATCATTCAAGCTGATTGAGATTAAATGGAGAGAGTGTGAGAACATGTGGCTGTTTGTCTTTCTGCTGGAAAGTGAACCCAGAGTCTTCTGCAGCCTCTTACAGGATTTTTTTTTCTTCCATTTTCTGCCTTGTGTGTCGCTTAAACTGCTTTCTGGTCAACTTCGTCCAGCTTTGCTGTTAAGACGACATTATATAATTGGGGACATTATAGAATTGTTTTAAAATAATTTTATTGAAATAACTGTCTTCTCCTCTTGACAGTCTCATAATTTAATCAGAATCTCAGAAAAATTTGTTTCTGAATCAATAATCATTTCTGAATTGAATTGTAACCCTAAAAATTGGAATTGAATCAATTCACTAAATGCAGGAAAATTGGCATCTCTAATCTGAAACATGAAATATTTTCACGTATTGTGGATTCGTGGTTCAGTATTCACCAAATCGTGCATTTCTCAGAGGAATGGACCTCCAAATGATTCATGAAAAGCTGCTTAATGCGATTTTTTTCAAAATATTCAACAGAATATCCGCTGTTGATATTAATGCTTGTTAAGGTATATTGTGTGTTTTAGCTATTAAAATAGGTAGATATAACATTTTTTAAAGGGAATCTCAAGTATTCACGGATTTTAGTTATTCACAAGCGGCTGTGGTCCAATAGCTCTGCGAATACAAGGATGTGGATGGGAGTTACTGTCCCATGATGCACTGCAAAAGTTATTTGAAGCTTAACTATCAAACAGTAACCAAGTATCCAAATTTTATTAGATATTAAACCTGTTTGGGTTGCTAAATACTCCACATTTAAGGTTTGTGCTTCTTTTTGACCCCTGACCCATAATGCAAAATCTTGATAAGACACAACATAAAATATAGAATTTGAGGAATTTGAATAGTTTTTATAACAATTTCATCTCTGTGAATGTATGATAGCTACATTTTAATTTCAAAACTGACCATTTAATTTAGTAAATAATAAAAAATAGACTTTTTATATAGGATTCATGCAAAAGCATGTTATTGTAAAAAAATGCAGAGTTTTTATTGGATATCAAAGGATTGTCAGGATTTTTTCCTCTAAGGACACTCTGTACATCCTGAGTAAAATTCAGTTTGTAAGACTTAAATTACTGCGGCAGATTTATCAGAGCGTTGATAGCTAGAGCTCATCTAGCATATTCATGTCTGAATGCTGGATGAAATCTACAATATGAATGAAATTGAACCTCATCAGCGACAAAAATGTTTCATCTTCATTAAGTTTAAAACTACCAAAAAAGTCAGAACTTTGGTCTTTGAATTCACTCGTTAACAGGACAACGTAAGCTGAGGTCATTTCTGTGTGGGTCAATTTATGTCTAACTTCTCTATTTCCTGATGAGACAAAGGGCAGCAGATTTTATCACAAAGCGACCGGTAGTGTCACCACTTTACAACCTTTAAATAAATGTAACTACATCACATTTGATTGTTGTTGATTCTTTAATTTTGGCTCCCTTAATTGGTTTTCTTGTTTCTTCACTTCATATTCGTTCTAATCTTGCTTTAATCAGACTGTGCACAGTAAAATTTCTTTTCAGTGTTTGTTTCTTGACATTTCATTTAAGTTGAAACATGGACATTAAATTTGATATATAACCTCCCCTGGGTTTCTACCTAAATTCTTTAAAACCTGCTTGCTGAATGACAAAAGTGACTTTTAAACTGTTTCATTTTATGCAAATGAACGTTGAAATAATAAATCTCACATCTGTCACTCTGAAACATCTAACACATGATTTCGACTTCAATGGCACATCTAGGGATCAGATGCATAAAACTCTAAATATATTGGTCAAACCTTGCATGTATACATATTTAGGACACATAAGCGCCACACATCTTCACATGAAGTCTAAAGAAAAATACCAGAAAAACATGAAACTGGTTCCACATGAATGCAAGATTTATGCATCTGGCAAAAGGGGTTTGATCAAACATGGCTGTCTGTATTTATGTCAAGCCTCAGAGTCTATTTCCAGCTATTTGACTGACAATGCTGAAGATCATTCTTAGGAAAAGGCATCTCACAGGTGGAGTCTCTGTCCATAAGGATTTATTTTTCCACAATAAAAGGAAAACCTGCTAAATGATCTTAGTCCAGTCTCAGCCACCAGTTCTAGTTTCTTCCAGTGAATTTTATTATTTAGTTTTCTTTTTTTTCCAGCATCTGACGTGTTATACCAAACTAGCAACACACCTGCACTTCATTAGACCATACCATAACAGAACAACAAAATCTAAACAGAGAAACAGGAATGACATTTTTAATCTCATTTATAAACTTATCTACATAATTAAATTGTCTGTAAAATAACACATTTAATACAAAGGCAACTCAAAAGGTTACTTTAAAGCAGGGGTCCCCAAACTACGGCCCGCGGGCCGGATCCGGCCCGCCACGTCATTTGGTCCGGCCCCCTGAACAATGCCGGATCCGGCCCGCCTGCTCATACCAGAGAGCATTCAGTGTTTTTTTTCATATATTGTATTTTCCGGTTTATATGTGGATTTTTCTTCAACCACCAGGGGGCTTTTGAGCAAATGTGAAACTTACTTTCCCTCAATGGAATATATACTCGTCAGTCCCAGTCACCGTTTCACTCACGGTTTTTTCCATTTGCATTCTGGGTAAAAATCTATCCAAAAGTGTCGTCGTCTCCTCCCCCCCCGTCGACAAGAATTTCTTTGTTTTTTTTTACTGCAAAAACTAAGACCGGCCCCCGACCACAGAAAGGAACAGCTATGTGGCCCTCGCAGGAAAAAGTTTGGGGACCCCTGCTTTAAAGGAAAAAAGAAAACAAACAATACAAAAAAAAAACCCTCCATTTGGTAGGACCCAGTGATGTAATCAGTGACGTCATACAGTCATTTAAGCAGGAAATGCTGGGCCTGCCCCTCCCATACACCTGTCTGTGGCATGAAAATGGACAAACAATGGTGAGTAAAAGAGAACAATTTAACAGAAATGCACCTGGAAACAAGAAACGTATTCAGCTAATGGTCCAGAAGTGTTAGCTTTAACTGAAACATAAACATAGATGCAAACTGCAACATGATGCTTCCACAAACAAACCTGGGATAGTGAGCGAGGCAAAGTTGCAACAGCAATGTTTAAATTGAAACAATATGACCAACTATAGAAAGATTAAATACATCAGAAATAAGAATAAGGGGCAGGTGGTTAACACAAACTGAACCAGTTTGTCACAAGCAGTTTTAAACATGTGCAGCAGTTTATTGGAGTCTTCTTATGGTTTTAATTCTGGACAGTTATTCACTACTCATAAAGTGCTTACAAAAATATTCTTCTAAACTTCTAACCGTTTGATTGCGCCTCTGGCTGCATGAACTCATGCAGGAACTTGAATCTTTTCAGGTGTCCCAAATCTTTCTGATTTCTGTATTTTGATCCTCTTTCCCATCATCTCTGACCAGTTTCACCCGTCATTGCATGATGATGCTACCACCAAAACACCTTTTAGCTTCCTTCATATTAAGTCTGCTGTTGGGGTCACAGTTTTTTGATTAAAGCTCTTAAAGTTTGACCATGTCTTAGTAGAGTTGGCTAAATACAAACAGTAAACTGTTTTTCAACATTTTACTTATGTAGAACTTTGTGTTTTATAATACAGCAGAAATTTTGCATATTTGCACTTGTGTGATGAGTTTTTCTTAATCCACACGTTGATCACAGACTAAAACTCAACAATATGTAAATAAAGTTTTAGAAATACTGCCACCTGCATCACTTAAGTCGACTGGTTTTGACCATTTTGTTGGAAAGTTGCAATGAGCTCTTGCGTGTGAAAGGATGCAGGATCTGTTGATATTGTGTGAGTTTCCATAAGTGATGTAATTTGGCAGTAGACAGATAAAAACTGCTTTGATTTTATTTATGTGTCTCTGGAGTGTAGAGGGCCACATAAAAAGTTATGGCGGTCCAGATTTGGCCCCCGAGCCTCGAGTTTGACACATGTAAAACAGAAAAGGTTTGCAATGTGACTGGGGTGTTGTGCACACTTTTGTAAGGCACCAGCTTTTGTTCCCTGGATGAAGCAGAGAAGAACTCGGAGCTTCATCTGTATAGAAATGTCAGTCAGGGATTGTTTAGAAAGAAAAGAATCGGTAATGAACTCAGAACAATACAAATAAATTCAGATTTTTATATGATTCAACTGTTATCTTTAAAGAGATAATAGGAGGCTTAAAGAGTCAGGCAGCTTTGAGCTGAACAATTTATTTGTGTTGTTTTGTACTTATTAAAGGTCTGAAAAGCAGAAATTATGCTGCCTGCAAATTTGACAGCCTGCCTAGAAACAACTGAATCTCCACTCTGAGCTCCTCAGAAGCCTCAATTTCCAAATAATGCTTCCTTTTTCTTTTTTCTGTTTTGTTTGGCCCTGGATCAGTGATTTGGCCTCCATGTGAATCCTGCTGTTGTTTACAATCTAATTTGAGAGGCTGGAGTGGTGACCCGCATCCCAAAGACACTTCGCCATTCATTGTGTACAACTACGGCGACGTATTGGCCATTCTAGATGGAGGGGGAAAAATAATTTTTTATATTAATGTGAGAATTGAGAATTTCTGAGCTTGAAGATTCAAAGATTTTCTAGAGAAAAAAAACCCCTAATTTTTGAGTTTCAAAAGTCCAAATGTAAAACTTTTTGAGCTCAAATCTAATTGTTTCTAGAAAATTTATGGGATCTCAAACTTTTTTTTAACAGAAATGTAATCAATATACAATAACTCTACACTAAAGAAAATAGTGCTCCAACTTAAATTGCGTTTATTCGTTACGGTACATGTAATGCAACCAAACTAAGTTAATTAATCTTGTTGTATCTATATGTATTGAAGATGATAACTTATGTTGGGTAAACTTAATTTGATTACTTGCAATAAATATATATTTTTAAAGTTGGATCACCTATTTTCGTTTTCAGTGTAAAATCCCGTCATAGTAGAGCCGTTTTGCAGGTGAACATTGTGCTTCTGCCTTTGCTGTTGTGTAGATGAAGGCAACCCAGACAACCTGACAATGTACACAAATTAGAGGCAGGGATGAGTAGGAGTATGATTAATGGTTCACAATAAGGACAGGCCACAGGAGGAGGCAGGATGGAGCAGCGGTGAAAATCCCATGGCTGTTAGACGACGGAGAGGAGACAAGACAATCTGACAGATTCAGGAGCTGAGGGAACTGATCAGGAAGTAAATTCCTCCTTCAGATATTGGCCAAGAAAAGTGAGCTGGAGTCGTGAAATCTGAAAACCTGATCATTTTTTAAAGACTTATAAGAAAAAGGAGAAATTCACATATCGGTGAGATAATTTCCCACACTCTCCGCTCTGCGAGTTTTTACTTCAAATCTCCTTTCTCACCTTCAGAACCGGAACTTTCTGCCGTCTGAACGGGGGGACAGCACTGGCTGATAGTTGCATCTGCAGCCGGAATATCTATCCGCAGTCTGGCTGTTTTCCATCCGGGGTAAAAAGCGCACATTTCTGCCTCCTTATGCCGCGCGGAGATTCATCAGGCGCGTGCAAACATTAAAGCGTCGCGTGCTTTTTTCCGGTAGGGAACCCCTGCGCTCGCGCCGTGGACCATTCCTCCGTTCATCTACATCCAGACGAGGTGTGAACAGCGCACAGCGCCAGACGGACCAGAGTTGTTGGCTGGTGTGGATTCACAGCGGAGCGCACAACTCGCGGACTCTGTACTACGCAACTCCGGCACAGATGGATATTTACGTAGCTCTGTCGTTGTTTTTCCTTTTCACCAAACCAGGTGAGCGCACGAAAAATGCTTGACCGCTGTGAGGGATTTTGTTTTAACTTGAGCTTGTTTACGTTTTTGGTCTCTTTCTCCGCTGTGCATGTATGACCAAGTTAAGATTCCCCTCAGCGCCTTTGGATTTAGTGATTATTGTGTGTTGCATAAGTTACCTGCGGAAAATAGCGACAGAACTGACAGAGTAACAGATGAAACCTTCTACCTGCACCTTTAACGTGCAGTGCACCTACAGCCCGTGTGAGCACAGGTGATGACTGCAGGCAGGAGATGCAGCGATATGAATAAAGTATCTACATAACCACTGCGCAACTTGCTCCAAAAGAGGCTTTTAAAATAACTAATTTTGTTTTTATAGTGAATGCTTTTTTTTTAAACTGTATTCGGTCATAATTAGATTCGTTTCCCTAACCTTGATCTTTCTTTCTGTTCAGCTTTTGGTTTCGGATCAGATCAAGATTACCAGATTGATATAATCAGCGAACTTGACCAGGCAAATGCCACTTATGGAATTACCCAAGTGGCTGGACTTCACAACGGCAGCAAAGCCTTCCTGTTCCGAGGTAACAACCAACATTTCTCTGCAAGACGCGTAACTCAAGTTGAAGGAACATTCATTTTATTCCGTGGGTCCCTGCGCGCTCCTGCGCGCCCTCAGTTTTGTTAATTAGTGAGAGCAAACCCACGCAGCGCCACACCTTTTGGTGTCGGAGTGTGTTGAGTCAGACAACTCCGGGGAGCCTCCACTCATAATTACTCCACATTTAATTTGTCCGAGGCGGCAGATGCTCAGAGTCATTCTGGACACACTTGAGCGCGCAGTCTGCCTCGGATTTCCACCACACTGTGATTGTTTCTAATGCTTTCTTCTGTGTAATCTCAGCAACTGGCCGCATATAGCTGCTATCAGCTGCGTTTTATTGCGAGCATAATGAAGGGTGCACAGCGTGTGGTCAGACTGTTTAAAGCCCTGGAGGAAGGAAAGGGAAAAACAGAAAGGATGAAATGATATTTTTCCTGTGGTTTTGTGTTTTAAGTAGTTTTTCTTTTGAATTGTGGGTTTTCCACTCTATGAAAGGTTGCAGAGCAGGTTTGAAAGCAGAAGCAGAGTTGGAGAGTGGAAGGACACAATAAGGGTATTTCATTCAGAGAGGAGAGAGATGGAGAGTCTTTGGATATAAAGAGAGGAGCTCTCCAAAGACAAATTGTTCCGTTAATTAAAAGATGTCACAACTTTTTAAAACTAATCTTAGTTTTCTGACTTTTAATACAACAAACTCAAAAGATTTATTTTGATGTTTGATCGTCTGCTGAATCTGCAAACCTGACAGCCTGATGCAAAAATCTGAGTTTGCTCGACTCTTGGCAAAGTTAGACTGAGGCGCCGACCGACTGAAAATGTCAGCAGCCTCTACCAGTTCTTTTTGTAAAACTCAAAAAACAGCCATAAGCGTAACAGGGATCTTTTGTGAACATGTATTTGTTTACCATCTGTGAGATTCAGCAGCAGTTTCAGTTGTTTTAAATCCGACTTATTCTTAGTCCTCGACCGTTTTTGTGGAGATTTTATTTTTTTATTACAAACTCAATGTGATATGACATCTGTCTGCTACAGGTAAGAGAAATGCTAATGATGAGGACTTCTCATGTGTGCAGTAGTTTTCTTTTCTGGAGTGCTTGGCTCAGTTCACCACTGGCTCTACATAAATGAAGACCGGGCAGCTTGGCCAGCTCTACTGGTGTAAAGCTGTCCAAGATTCTGGACTCAATACCGCCAGGGAAACACAACTGCTCTCACTTAGTTCATACACACAGCCCCCCCCCTCCTCCAACCTTTTCTCCTGACAGTTTCCAGGATCCAAGAGTTTGTGCAGCAGCCAGATAGCAGGGGAAACAGCAGGGTAGTCCAACTGGGAATACTGGACTTGCTTGTGTTGTGACCTAGTTAATACATCAGTTATACAGTCTCTGCTTCTCTCATGGCTTGGTAACCCAGATTGCTCGGCTAAGTGACACCAGCTGAAGTTCCATAAATATTTCATTACTTAAAAAAAGGTGATTGATATTTCAAAGCACCGTAAACATGAGCTGGAGTTTACATTCACTGCAAAAACAGTCTTACCAAGTATTTTTGGTTTAGTTTCTAGAGTGAATATCTTAGGATGCTTGAATTAAAACAAAACTAACTTGCAAGTAACTTTTCAGCAATATATAGAAACTGGTTTTAAGTCAATAATTCCTTTAGGGATGAAAAAAAACATGCTCCATTTGCATATTGGCTGATTATTTCACTTATAACTTCCCCATGTTATAAGTTAATTTATCTGGGGATGGAATTAGTACTTTTTTAACTTAAATAAGGAATCATTTACTTAAAACAAGCCTCTAATTCTTGCTGAAAAGTTATTTTTAAGTTGGTGTGTCTTATTATTAGGATTACTTTAATATATTTGCACTGGAACAGGACACAGCAGGATGCACTCTTATTGTCTTTGTGCTGTGATTTCATTACTAATATTCACATTTTGTTGACTTATGAGCATAAACCTTGATTTTTATTGGAATTTTAGATGAAAGAACAATTATAAGATAACAGATATAAAAGGTATATGTATTCAGGGCTCTCAGTCAATACTTTTTGGAAGTGCTTTCTTTCTTATTATTGCTGCAGTTCTTTCGGAGTATATACACCACGTTTAAATTACCAAGAGACTGAAAGTTTTGGCCATTCTTTGTGAAACAGCTTAAGCTCAGTCAGACTGGATGGATAACATCTGTAAACGGCAACGATTAAATGTTTCTAAAGATTCTGTCTGGAAGGCCAACATCCACCTCAGTCCTTGCAATCTGTTTTCTTCCAACAGGATTATCCTCTCTCTGCAAAAACAAAATCTTAGCAAGTATTTCTGATCTAGTATCCAGTGCAAATATATTACTTTTGTCTTATTTCAAGACAACTAACTTATAAGTAGGTTTTTAGCTTCTTTTAAGTAAATAGTTCATTAATATTGATTAAAAACGACTAGTTCCAATGGGAGATTATTTAAGTTATAAAAATATATTTTTCCAATGTTTAAGGGAAAATAATCTGCCAATTGAACTAGTGCTGACCTATTGCTGCACCACCGGAAAAAATATCCTCACAGCATGATGCTGCCACCACCGTGTTTCACAGCGGTGATGGTGTGTTTTGGGTGATGTTTAACGTTACTTTTTACTACAAGTGGCATTCTGCAACTCAGCCAATAAGGTTACATTTTAGGATTGTTTGACCAGGTTACCTTATTCCTAATGTTTTTTTTTTTTTTTTTTTCAACATTTTTCCATCTATACTTTGGATATCTGCAGACCCATCCAGCAATATATCTGATTAGTTTTATCCTTGTTTGGTCTTCTTGGTTGGATTGTCTTGGTGGGTTTGCAGCAGTGTAAAACCCCTTTTATTTTCAAATAATGACTTGAACAGTTTTCTGCAAGAGGCTTGGGATCTTGTTTTATAACAGCACTGCTTTAAACTTTACGATCCTTGTTTGTTGACAAATGTTCTCAAATAGAATAAAATGTCTTCACAGAGCAGTTGTAAATGCACCAAGATTATGGACTCAATTTGTTATTCTGGATTGTATTTAGGTACATCAGCTTCCATGACACTAAATGCGTCGACCTACTGGACTTTTCAGACTTGCTTCTGTAAAACAAATCACCATTTTCTTCCTCTATACTATTGAATTGTTTTCCCAAATACATAAAGCCTAAATAAAATGCATTAATATTCTGTGCATGTAGCATTAAAAAAGGTTAACAGAAATTAGAGCGACATGATATGAGGGAAGCCTATAATGTGGGATACTGACTCTGAGTGTTACAGTATAACTTCCAGTATATGCTGTGGGTTCATTATACACAGATCCCAGATGGTGACTATTAGACAGATTTTTCAACGAAACCAGTGGCATGGTTTAATTGAAAATGTTGCATCAGGCTAAAACGGCTACTTTGGCAAAGAAAAAAAAAGATTGTAGTTGGTTTTTGACTCTAATATCACTCAAAAATATTTTCTGTTCTGTCAAACTCCCTTTTTTAAGAGAGCATGAGGATAATTTTCTAACATTTATTTCTGAACTCAGAATGACCCCCTGTTTAATGTGACTACTCTGAACCTGTGATCCAACATAACCAATAAAAGAAATGGAAATATTTAAACTCCCCCACTGTGCTGAAAGCATTGAACAAAGCTCAGCTAATTGCTAAGATATTTGCACATTTGTTCTTATCTTTTGCTTTTTGCAGTTAAATGTAACAGAACTGCTTACATTGCTGAAACATACTGAATAAAGTAAATTTTTTCCATATGAAGCCTGACCTATATTCTTATTCCACGTTGCAGCCCAGAGTGTCAGCCTCATTACTCAGGCAAGCCTTGGTCTGAGCTTTGCTTTAGATTTAAAGTAGTGGTGATTATAGTTTGTTCTTCTCATGTTCCTGTGGGGGCATTTTGGAACTGCTGGATTCATTTTAGTAAAGAGTATATAACTTAAATTTAAACAGGTTCTTGGGCCTCATACTAAACTATATTTTTCTGTAAGGACCCTAGCGTTGATTCAGGTTTATGGAGGAAAAACCTTGTTACTTTCACTGTTTCACTGAAACTACAGACATATCATGCTTGACAAAACTTCACTGCAGACAAACCAACCTCCATTTTTTTACTTTATGACCAATACACCAACCTGAAGAGGGCACTCTACCCTTTTCTGGTGGTGGTCCATTGTTTCTGCAAAAGCTGGACATCATGACCTGATGAAGCCAACAGAGGCACATCGTCTGTGAAAAGCTGGGATCTAATCCTGAGACCACCAAAGTGGAAACACTCAACACCTTGACAGCACCTAGAAATTCTGTCCATAAAGATTATGAACACAATGCATGACTAAAGGCAAACTTGACTGAGTCCAAATCTAACTGGAAACAGATCAGAGCTTTCAAAACTGCAGTTTGTAGCATTGAGTTGAGCTCAATATTTCTGGACAGTGTATATCCCTCTGCTCTTCACCGGCTGTTGCACAGAATCATTAATGTTAAATGGTTAAATGGTAACGAGTGCAGCTTTGATCTTGATTCTGTGAAATCTTTTAGTACGCCTCCTCAGCCTTTTAGGTCAATTATGCTTAACACATAACTCTAGACTGGCGTGACTACAAAACGGGTTTGTAATTAACGTCTAATATACCATCCTGTTGATTCAAGTCAATTTTTTCATACATAATTGAAAGCAAAAACCCACATTATAGCCCCACATTTGCTTACTGTTGCATGTAAACTGTACATCAGGCAAAAAATTACCTGCAACAGAGATCAAAGATGGATATGTTTTTCTATTCTGAAGCACGAGGCACAGATATCAATATACAGATCATCTATGTTCAACAAAAAATACAGAAAAGCTTTGCTACACAGGGCAACTTCCACCTTATAAAGGGATATTTTCTCATCGCTTATTATAAAAGTTGCAACTTTTAAGATCTCTACAAATAACTATTTTTTGTAAAAAAAAGAATAGTTACTCTGTATCTGGATTTATGCATTAATTTGATTCATTTAATTTACTTGGATGCAATTCCCAACAAATGCCATCTGAAAGTCTGATTTATAAACAGAAATTATAATCAATAATATATAGACTGGTTCAAATTCAGTTATTCACAAACCCATTCAACAAGTTAAAATATTGAAAACTTCATTATCACCAAATGAAACAAATTTAGATTAATTAGACAAACACTGATGTTTTAACACCTTTATTTCTCAATCATACTTAATGAAAAGCATATTTAGAGGTTTTTGGCAGATCAAGGGAAGGTTAACTTAACAGCCTAAACAATAATTTATAACAACTCTGCTTAATGAGAAACATGGAGGTTATGACAGCAGAAATGTTATTTTTAGAAGTTTGAAAAAAAATGAATCTACTAATGAGACAATGTGACAGTCTGTTTGTACTTACAATAGATAAGATAAAGACACTAAAAATGCACAATAATTATTCACAATTAGTAATTTAATATATCAAAGCACATTCCATAATCTGTTTTAGATGGATGGATTAATCCCATGAAACAAATTAATTAATCCCAGCAACAAAACTGACATTGTTTTTGGATGTAAAATACTAATACACGCTTCACTAAGAAGTTAATATTAGTCGTTTTCAAGCAACCATTCTTGTTTGGCTAAATGTCGTATAAAAACATAATCTTGACACCCACATCAGGTGAACTTTATTTTTCTTGAATAAAATTTGCTTAAATCAAGAAAAAGTTGACAACCTCGTTTGTTTTCCTATAATATTTCATTTCTTTGTTTTTAATGTCAAGATACAATCGGATCAAGATGTAGCTCATTAGCAGTGCGCTACATCTTGATGTTTAATTTACATAAAGTGTGAAAATGCAGATTTGTCTGAATAAAAAAAGCCTTTTGTAAAGATTAAACACATAAAGGAAAAACCTGCTTAAGATTTGTTTTCCTTTGATTTGCTCAACATATGAAATACTAGGAATTTTAAAGCCATTTTATGTTTTTTTCACTCTATTAAATTATCATAATTTACAAAATCATGCAAAGTTAGCACTTTTAATGG